GGGGTCTCAGGGAATCAACAGGGCGGAGCAAGCAGCTATGTCTGATCCTCAGCCCTGCCCTAAGGGGCCCCGCGTCTCAGTCTCCCGGTAATCGCTGCAAGCACCTCTGAGAGAAAGCCGCCCTCGAGTTCCGAGTTCTGCCCGCTGCCTGACAGTCCAGTTTCTCCCCGTATGAGTCTAGGTCCCCAGAGACTCACCCGGAAGAGTAGTTCAGAGCAGTCCGGGGCTTGTGACTCCCTCTTGATTCAAAAAGACAGCCGTGTCCTCAGTTGCCAGCCCTTGCACCTCTGAATCTCACACCCGGAACTGGAGTTCAGAGCAGTCCGGGGCTTGTGACTCCCTCTTGATTCAAAAAGACAGCCGTGTCCTCAGTTGCCAGCCCTTGCACCTCCTCTGAATCTCAGTGTGCTTTTCTCTTTCCTTCTAGTTGTAGAATTTCCACTCAGCCAGCCTTCCTGTGGCTCTGGATGATGTCCATTTTGTCTTTTAGTTGTATTTTTTAATTTGTTGTGGGAGGCAGCAATTTCCGGTGTTTACCTATGCCGCCATCTTGGTTTCGGTCCCTGCTTTAAGGAGTTTATTGTGTAGAAGGAAATAGTAGGAAGGCATTAAGCTAGTAATTCTGGAACAGGGTGAAGTAAATACCCAGTGCAAATATAGTTCATAGGTGGGCTCTTTGTCTTGGTAGAACATGGAAAGCAGCAAAGAAAATGCTAGAAGTAAATCCAAACCTCAGACCTAAATGTGGGGAAGATGTGATTCTGGGAAGGGAAGGAAGACTGTAAACCAAAGACTTCGAGTGTATGGGTTTGTCCTTTTAAATGACCATTTTAGCCCTGACCAGTTTCGTTTAGTGGATAGAGCGTCGGCCTGCGGACTCAAGGGTCCCAGGTTCGATTCCAGGCAAGGGCATGTACCTTGGTTGCGGGCACATCCCCATTAGGGGGTGTGCAGGAGGCAGCTGATTGATGTTTCTCTCTCATCGATGTTTCTAGCTCTCTATCCCTCTCCCTTCCTCTCTGTAAAAAATCAATAAAAATATATTTTTTAAAGATTTTTTAAAAAATGAGCATTTTAGCTGCAGCATGGAGATTTATTGCAAAGGGAGTAAGATTGGAGGCTAATCTTAAGTAGTTAGGAGACAGCTATATAGTCCTACCCAGTAAAAGACGAAGCAAGAGAAATAGAGATAAGCTGCCTGAGATACTTATCCTTTAAGAGTCAACACAATGTCACCTCTCTAATGCTTTTTCCTTTTGCCTTGTCTCATCACCTCCCCTCCTCCAAATATTTGCCCTCTAACCCCTTCAATAACAATATATCGTTTAGCTCTTGATTCATGTATATTTCTCCCTTTCCTACTATTTTATTAGAGCTCCTTGAGATCAAGGAAACTTTTTTTTTAATATATTTCTTTAATGATTTCAGAGAGAAAGGAAGAGGGAGAGATAGAGGCATCAATGATGAGAGAATCGTTGATCTGCTGCCTCCTGCACACACACACCCCTACTGGGGATCAAGCCTGCAACCCAAGCATGTGCCCTTGGCCACAATCGAACCTGGAACCCTTCAGTCCGCAGGCCGACACTCTATCCACTGAGCCCAACTGGCTAGGGCAAAACTATTTCTTACACAGGTGTAAGCAAGCATTTGGATGAATGAGAGTACTCAAGTCTCACCTAATAGTGTTTTGTTTTTGTTTTTGTTAATAGTGTTTTTAAGTACCATAAACTCTTCATTGTTTTAATTGTAGACTTTTGGGCATAAAAACAGAAACTCCAAGTACTGTCTCAACAAATGCAAGTACACCGCAATCAGTGAGCAACGTGGTTCATTATCTGGCAATGGCACTCTTTCAAATAGAGCAAGGCATTGAGCGGCGTTTTCTCAAAGCTCCACTTGGTAAGTATCTGTTTTTAATTCAAAATACTAGTTATCTTTTAAATGATTTTGAAATTGCCCTTTAATTAATAGAACTTCATTGGCTAACGTAATGAGTTTAATTTATTTGAAAAATTTGAGATTGTATTTTCATTTTAATACATGAGTTCTTTCAGATGAGATTTATTTTTTAAATCTTAAAAAATATTATGAAATACCATTTTTAAAAATTTATTCTAGGTATTTAATAAATGTCTTTTTAACTATTTCTGTCAATATCTTCTTTTGTGAAACCTTAATCAGAAGTAAGATTACCACAACCTATGATTAACCAGACTCTGAAGAATCAAAGATTGTACATAAATTTTTTGTTCATTTTTAAAAACAGAACTCCAAAGAAGCTACTTAAATTTCCACCATTAAGGGTATGGTTTAATAATGTGGATCACTAACCTGAACACTATATTAGAAGTGCTAGATCAGAAATACCAAATGTTGCCCAGCCAGTGTGCCTCAGTGGTTGAGCATCAGTCGACCCATGAACCAGGAGGTCACAGTTTGATTCCCGGTCTGGGCACATACCCAGGTTGTGGCCTCAATCCCCAGATGGGGGCGTGAAGGAGCAGCCAATCAAAGATTCTTTCTCATCATTGATGTTTCTATCTCTCTCTCCCTCTTCCTTCCTCTCTAAAGTCAAAAAATATATTTTTTTAAAAAAAGAAAGAGCCTTGACCAGTTTGGCTCAGAGTGTTGGCTTGTGGACTGAAGAGTCCCGGGTTCGATTCCAGTCAAGGGCATGTACCTTGATTGCGGGCACATCCCTGGTAGGGGGTGTGCAGGAGGCAGCTGATCGATGTTTCTAGCTCTCTATCTCTCTCCCTTCCTCTCTGTAAAAAATCAATAAAATATATTTTTTAAAAAGTAGAAAATAAGCCTTATTTAAGAAAAAAAAAAAGAAAAAGAAAGAAAGAAAGAAAGAAAGAAAGAAAGAAAGAAAGAAAGAAAGAAAGAAAGAAAGAAAGAAAGAAAGAAAGAAAGAAAGAAAGAAAGAAAGAAAGAAAGAAAGACCAAGTGTTAAATGGTACATAGATGAGGAAATGTTCTATAATTTATTATTAGAATTATAGAAATAATAATATCTGGATCATATTTCAGCAGTTTATTAAATTAATGTGCTTTCAGGGACTAGTAATTAAGGAACATAATCATTGTGTCTTTAGGAAAACATGTTTCAAGTTTCAAATCAATTTTCTGTCATACTCTACTTCCCTGAAATGTTGAATTAACTTACAATTCATCATATCGAGATAGATTTTTTAAAAATCTATTGTTATAGATTTCAGAGATAAAGGGAGAGGGAGAGAGAGAGAAACATCAGTGATGAGAGAGAATCATTGATTGGCTCTCTCCTGGACGCCCCCTACTGGAGTTGAGCCTGCAACCCCGGCATGTGCCCTTGGCCAGAATCAAGCCCAGGACCCTTCAGTCCATAGGCCAACACTCTATCCACTAATCCAAACCAGCTAGGGCTCGAGATAGCTTATATCTCAATAATAGGTACTAGAAGAAACAATTCTTTAAAACCATCTCTTTTTGGTCTCCTATTGAAAGAGCAACTTGAATAGACTAAAATCTTTTAAAATGTTGTTATTACTTGTTGAGTAGTAAGAACAAAGTTTTATAAACAGATGGTGCTATCAGAGCAATTTCAGAATGTGAATATATTTGTAAAGTGTCTATTTTTAAGTTGAAGAGCTTCTGGCCAGTATCTCATTGTTCTGATGAACTTACTCATATTTTTTATAAATTGGTAATTCTACCATGAGCTTAATAACACACTTTTCACATTGAAAGTAACATTTGTAAGAAATAAAATACATATGATCACAGCTCACAAAGATATCAGAGTTTGTATTTACTACATCACTGTTATTTCCCAGTTTTCAGTATTTCTCAATATTTTCTGTCTAAATCAAATTACATGTACAAGGGGTCTCTCTGTATTATTTCTTACAACCACATATTGAAGCTGTAATTACTTCAGTTAAAATTCCAATTAAAAGTTATTTGTAAATTACGTAGCTCTTATAAAGGTAAGATGCTACTACTACTCATTAATCCTATGATTCCAAAAGGGGCAAAGGGTAAAATACAATTCTGCTGATTTTTACATTTCTGAAATTTCCATCAGTTAAATTTTATAAGTTCAAGAGGAAAAAAATCAAATTAATTATTTAGTGTATCTGTATTTTCATCCAGTACATCTTATTAACTATTTAGACAAAGGAAAAAAATTAACATGGGAAGATGTTGCAACATATATCTGGTAGCTATATTAGAGCTATAAAGTTCTTAAATGCTGGTTTGTATATGGCAGTATTAGAACATTCATTTCATCCCAAAAGATATTTTTAAAACAATTTTAATTTGGAATTTTAAAATTCTATGTAATGAAAGCGTAGTATGCAAATTGTCCCCTCGAACTGGATTTCGACCAAGGGGCTGGGCCAGCTGGGGGAAGGGAGGAAGTACCAGGCCGGCAGATGGCAGCCGCTAGGGACCTTGCCAGTGCATGAATTTCATGCACTGGGCCTCTGGTAAGTAAAATAAAAAAGGTCAACTTACCTTACTTATTTTGGTGGTATATGTTGGTCAAAGCCAGATATTGGTCATTTATCATATGGATGTTACCATTGCTGCCCGCTAAAAAGTTAATAGTAAAACTGATGTCTGTAGCTCTTTATTTTATGTTTGTCTTTGAGGGGTTTGTTTTGAATGGGACAACAGGAAATGGAGGCAGCAATGGGTTTTAAGATAGCCTGAATATTTGGAGCAAGGTAATAAAGACTATCATTCAGGAGAGAAAAGGGGGTTCCACTTTATAAATGTTTGAGTAGAATATAAAAATTTTCCATTCTTGATAATTTTTCAACATAGCAAATTAACTATAGTAGGAATTTTCCCAGTTTAGCTTCAGATATTATTTCAGTTTCTTGATGTATGTGTGTGTGTGTGTGTGTGTGTGTGTGTGAATATATATATATATATTTTTTTTTTTTTCAGAGAGGAAGGGAAAAGGAGAGATAGAAACATCAATGATGAGAAAGAATCATTGATTGGCTGTCTCCTGCATGCCCTACACTAGAGATTGACCCCGCACCCCAGGCATGTGCCCTGACCAGGAATCAAACCGTGACCTCCTGGTTCATGGGTCCACCAACGCTCAACCACTGAGCCATGCCAGCCTGGCTATTTCAGTTTCTTAAGGAAGCAAATAAGAAATAAAAATTCTACTTATGTTCTATCTTCCCTAATATGTCCTTTTTACTCTAGGGATTAATCACATGGATAAAACTATGCTTGGGAATATCATCATATTTCAATTATTTTATGTAAGATTTGTGAAAACCATTTAGGTTAATAATTGTATCATTTATAAAATCATGTTTATGGTTAAACCCTTAAGCTATGAAAAATCTTCAAACTATCAATTTGAAATTAGGTAACACAGAAATAAATAAAGATCAAAAGGGAGATAGAAAAATAAAGAACCAAAAAAAGAGAGAGGAAGATCAATCTAGTTCTTTAACTTTTTAAAGAACTTTGTCTTTTTTAAATAATTATGACTTCACTTCCTGTATTGCTAAATACTGGTTTGCTTATTTAGCTTTTAAAGGAAAACCTTGGTTCTGATATTTTGGAAGGGAATATCATCTTCCTAACATTTTCCTTTCTACATTTCACACCTTGGCTGATCAAACTCTTCTAAGTTTGTTTATAAAAAGTTAACATTGGTGACTCTTAGCATACTTGGATATTAGTGAAAAGATTGAAGAGGTATGGATTGCAGGATTTACAGGTTAGGAGTTTTTGTTGTTTGGATTTCCTAGAGTGGCAGTTAACAGTATAAAATCTCTCAGTGTAATAGTAGATCATATGACTCTAACAATATTTTATGTTAGTTAAATACTTTCATTTAGTAATTTCTTGAGGAATGTACCTGTGCTAGCATAACGGAAGATAAAAGAAAAACGAGACATTTCTGCCTGTGAGCATTGTATAATCTGAAGAAGAAGCAAGGCTGAAGATAAACAATTAAGAGGAAAATTGAATCAATTGTACATTACTGTGTTTACCCTTGTTTGAATGCTATATAAAAATAGAAAAATATAGACAACCATTTATATTTATTTTATATTTAGAATAGTTGAAAGTTGGTAGGAATAGGTGGGATAAAAATTGGACCTTGAGCTTGTTTAATTTTCTTAAAGCACCTCTTTGATCAAAACCCAGTGTTTCACCAACATTTGAGTTAAAAATAAAAGCCATTCGATAGAACCAAGATGGCAGCATAGGTAAATGCCTATTATTACTGCATCCCACAACCACATCAAACTTACAACTAAAATACAGAACAACTGTCATCCAGAACAGCCGGAAAGATGGCTGAATGGAAGTCCTACAACTAAAGAAGAAAACACACTTAGACTACTAGAAGGGACGGAAACTCGGAGGCTGGTCCAGCACCTGGGTGTGCCACTTTTTTAATCGGGAGGGAGATCGCCTCTGTGGAGGCTCCCGGAGGAGTGAAGGGTCCCAGCCCCACCAGACCACCAAGCCAGGGTTCCAGAGCTGGGGAAAGAAGTCCCTATAGGCAGTAAGAACTACGGACTCTAAAAACCAGTGTGGATTGGATCTGAGTAACACACAGGCTACTAGAGACCCAGCTGCTCCTCTTAAAAGGCTGGCACCCCAAACTGAACTTACAAGCTCCCACTTTCTCTGTGCTCCAGTGCCAGGTGAGGCTCTGGGGGACCCAGACACATACAGGAAGAAACTGGATGGTCTGGCATTGGGGCAGGAACTCGGGGGCAGCTTTCTTCCAGATGGAAGTGCTCACAGTGGTCATCGTCCTGTGCTGGGACCTCCCAGGTGTAAGGCTGACTGGCAGCCATTTCTGTTTGCTTCCCCCTGGTGATTCCCTCAGATCCCCCCCTACCCAATTTACAACCCCACCCAAGCTGAGCGCAGCAGCTTTTGCATATGAATGGTCTGTCCTTTCTCAGGCTAAAACTCTGTCAAACAAGCTGCAGCTGGGTCAGGAAGCCCCAAACCTATCAATAAAAGGCCCAAGACCCAGCACCAGAACCAGCCTGCCTTGATTCAGAGCTGGGCCTCAACTGGACACTTCCAAGCCCAATACAAAGAGGAGAAATCTGCAGATCTCTCTGTAGCTCCTGCTGGGTGGCCCCAGGCAGTGGCTAACCTTACACCTCCATGGAGACCAAGAGCCAGTGTACCCAGTGGTCTGAGTGAGACCACACCGGACTACAACTCTTCACATCCGTAAGTGACACAGTCCAGGGGCAGACTCAGTGAGCACCAAAGCCCCACTGAAGCAAGTCCTGCCCCATAAGGGTTTCTCCTGCATAGCAGCTCTACCATTGTAGGCACAGCTGGTCCTCATGGCCAATTCGCCTGGAGGTCAATTCCTCCCAGTGATACCAACAACAATCAAGGTTCAACTACAACAAGACTGTGCACACAGCCCACAAAGGGGTGCACTAAGAGTGCTTACCACCTCAGGTGATTGGGGAGGCTGAGCCAGTGGGCCCTATAGGACACCTACGACACAAGGCCACTCTATCAACTCAAGGAGACTTAAGCAGCTACCCAATACATTGAAACAAACACAGGGAAGCAGCCAAAATGCGGAGACAAAGAAATGTGTCACAAATGAAAGAAATGGAAGGAAGCAAACTACTGGATATAGAGCTCAAAATCACAGTTATAAGATTACTCAAGAATCTTCTAGAAACCTCCAAGGGATTTAGTGAGACCTTCAAGGATCTTAATGAGAATGCCAAAAAAATGGAAAAGAACCAGTCGGAAATTAAGCATACACTGACTAAAATAAAGAATAATATACAGGGATTCAACAGTAGACTAGAGGATTCCAAGAATCAAATCAATGATTTGAAATACAAGGAAGCAAAAAACACCCAACCAGAAGAGCAAAAAGAAAAACGATTCCAAAAATATGAAGATAGTGTAAGGAGCCTCTGAGACAACTTCAAGCGTACCAACATCCGCTTTATGGGGGTGCCAGAAGAGAGAGAGCAAGATATTGAAAACCACCCTGACTGGTTTGGCTCAGAGGATGGAGCGTCGGCCTGCGGACTGAAAGGTCCCAGGTTCGATTCTAGTCAAGGGCATGTACCTTGGTGTGGGCACATCCCCAGTGTGGGGTGTGCAGGAGACAGCTGATGGATGTTTCTCTCTCATCGATGTTTCTGTCTATCCTTCTCCCTTCCTCTCTGTAAAAATAAATAAAATATATATATTTTTTTAAAAAGATATTGAAAACCTATTTGAAAAAATAATGACAGAAAACTTCCCCTACCTGGTGAAAGAAATAGACTTACAAGTCCAGGAAGCACAGAGAACCCCAAACAAGAGGAATCCAAAGAAGACCCCTCCAAGACACATCCTAATTAAAATGCCAAGGGCAAAAGACAAAGAGAGAATCTTAAAAGCAGCAAGAGTTACCTACAAGGGAGTGCCCATATGACTGTTGGCTGATTTCTCAACAGAAACTATGCAGGCCAGAAGGGAGTGGCAAGAAATATTCAAAGTGATGAACAGCAAGAACTTACAACCAAGATTACTCTATCCAGCAAAGCTGTCATTTAGAATTGAACATCAGATAAAGAGCTTTACAGACAAGAAAAAGCTAAAGGAGTTCTTCACCACCAAACCAGTATTATATAAAATGCTGAAGGGTATTCTTTAAGAAGAGGAAGAAGAAGAAAACGGTAAAGATAAAAAATATGAACAACAAAGTAACAACAAATACATATCTATCAACAATTGAATCTAAAAATCAAATGAATAAAAATCTGATGAACAGAATAAAATGGTGAATGAAATAGAATCAGGGGCATGGAAATGGAACAGACTGAGGATTCTCAGAGGGAAAGGGGTGTGGGGGGCGTGGGAGAAGAGATTAGACAAAGATCTTATGTGCATGTGTGCATTACCTATGGACACAAGACAATAGGGTGGCGAGAGCCTGGGATGCGGTGGGAACCAGATGGGGTGGAGCAATGAGGGGGGAAAACGAGGGACATCTGTATTAATCTCAATGATAAAGATTACTTTTTAAAAAATACCCTTAAATTAATTAATAATAAAAACCATTCAAATTAATTTTCAAGGATTCAAAATATCTTCATAATTTGTCTTTTTCTTCAACTCTTCCACATTGGCCTCTGCAAGCTTATTTCTTGCCATTACCAATAACAATGCACTCTGATTTATCCAGAAAGATTTCTTCAAGATCGTTGAATTAGCAGTTCTTATTGTTGCCTTCCTTGGAAGTCCCACTCAGGCTAGACTTTTCATGAAGCCTTCTATCAAAAACCAAGATAAATAGAAAGCACAATATGAGCCTGGCCTGTGTGGCTCAGTCGTTGTGTGTCGACCCATGCACCAGGAGGTCCCGGTTCAATTCCCCATTAGGGCACATGCCCAGGTTGTAGGCTCGATCCCCAGCAGGGGGACATTCATGAGGCATAGGATGGATGATTCTCATCATTGATGTTTCTATCTCTCTTTCTCTCTCTCTAAAAATTAATTTTAAAACATTTGTTAAAAGAAAGCACAAAGTGAGAGGGTGGAAATAAGTCAAATGAACTATATTGCATTTTTTCCCACCTTACTAATATTTCTCTTTAGCTTTGTCTGAGGAGCCGTTAGAACCATCCATTTTTTTCCTCTCCCATTGAGTGATTAATCTCTTACTTGTAGAAGTTCTGGTTCTTTTTCAGACTGCTTATTTACTCATGTTTTCAAATGTTTATTTCTTAAAACATATACAGCTATTTTATATTCTGTTTGTAATTCTAATATCTCAAGTCTTTATGGGTCAGATTCTGCTGACTCTTGCTTATAGTGTTTTGTTTCTCTATAGCCTTGTGGGTTTTGACTATAGCTCTCATTCCTCAGAACTTTATGGATATTTCTTCAGAGTGAATTTGCAAAGATTTGTACTTGTTTCTACCATTCACCTGAGATCACTACCAACCCTGAACCTCTATAAAATCTTAGCTTGTGGTTTTTCAGGTTTTAAACCTGTTCGAGGCTCTGCTTATAGTTACATATTCTTATGGTATCTTTTTATTTTTTTTCCGAAG